GCATTGCAGGATTTATATCATCAACCCTAAACCCTAAACCCTAAACCCTATAAACCCTAAACCCTAAACCTTATAAACCCTAAACCCTAAAAACCCTCAACCCTAAACCCTATAAACCCTAAGCCCTAAGCCCTATAAACCCTAAACCCCTAAACCCTGAACTCAGAGGCTGATGCCGCTCCTCCAGTCGCGTGATTCCCTCGCGCGGCTTCCCAACAGCGCTGGCGGCCCTATGCCGCAGTTCTTGGAGGCGGGCCTGCAAAGTTTCCTAAACCCTAAACCCTAAACCCTAAACCTAAACCCTAAACCCTAAACCCCTATGCCACAGCTCTTGGAGGCGGGCATGCAAGGTTTCAGAGAATCGAGGCATCATCTTCTTGTTGCAGGCTACTTGGAGGATCCTGCCACTTAGTAAGTAAGGTTAGAAGCACCTTAATGGGAGTTATAATTAATTACAACTATAGTTACTGTATTTATAATTAACCCTAATTACTAAGTCCCATGATCCTTTAAGTAGAGAGGTGTTGTAGTTCTGAACTCAAAGCCCTCATACCCCTAAACCCTCAGCCCTAAACCCCTAAACCCTAAACCCTAAACCCTAAACCCTAAACCCTAAACCCCGAAACTAAAACCCCAGACCAGAAAGCCTGAATCTCCTTAAACCCTAAGACAGTGTTATGTTGCTTTGCTTGCGACGGCCTTGGGGGTTGGAGAAGGACATGTTGGAACCCTAAGCCCCAATAGGCCCTTCAGCCTTGAAGCGCTACCTTAAGGGTTTAGGGGTTTAGGGTTTAGGGGTTTAGGGGTTTAGGTGTTTAGGGGTTTAGGGGTTTAAGGTTTAGGGTTTAGGGAACCCCAAATGACCTTCCCTTTTTAAGGACTTATATAAAGAAATCATACTAAGGAACCCTAAAAAGGTAGGTTCTTGGGGGTCCAGGTAAACCCTAAACCCGGATGTTTCCATGTGGGCAGGTCTCAAAATTCGGTTCCCTTTTTAGGTCCCCAATATAGTACGGCACCCTTATCAAAAGAGCCCTCCAAGAGGGACCCTATTTTAGAAAACTACCCATGTGTATGTTTGTCATGGCTGATGATACGTAGCCCCGCCAGATATTCTGGCGTACGCGGTTTTCCGGGTTTGCCACACGACAAATAACGTTCAAGAAGCCTGAACCTTTAGACCCATACCCTAGAGGCCCTGAAGGCCTTAAGCTCTGAACTAAACCCGAACCCCATACACCTTTCCACCCCTAAATCCTTAGACCCTAAACCCTAAGGATCCCCGTGGCGTAAAAAAGGGGGGGGGGGCCAAGAACAGCAACCAGTTTTCGGTGTCGCAAACGGCCCCAGAATCGGGGACATGCATCAGGTGACGTTGGTCGCGCAACAGCTCGAAGCTCTGAAACAGCAGAAGGCGAACTTGAAACGTGCGGTCCGTGAGGCCGCGGAATCGCAGTGAGTGCTGCATGTCCAAATCAGTGTGCAGGTGCTTCTGCGTCCGTGTGTCAAGGCTACTAAAGAGACGCGAAACCTTCAAAAGAAAAGACAGCGTCTGCTAAAGGCATTCGATGTGCTGCTTTAAGCTTGATGCTTTCAGTTTGCAGCCTTTCTCCAAACAGGCTGCGTGTGGTTTGAACCTCCAAGATCTGCAGCTGCTGTTAGGCGACTGCAAGAGGTCGTTCCCGCCAGTTTCGTTTCTGGAATGTGCCAGCTGCCAAATGCCCGTACGGCCGAAGCTCCACCTGCTCCGCCTGCACCCCGACCCCTAAAGCCTAAACCCTAAACCCTTAGACCCTAAACCCCCAACCCGAAACCCTCAAACGGGCTTGTTTGGTTCGGCTTGGAGGGGTGTCGGAGCTTGCATAGGTTTTAGGGCTTTGGGGCCTCAGGGCTTTAGGGCTTTGGGGTTTAGGGCTTTGGGCTTAGGGCCTTTGGGCTTTGGGATTTAGGGCTTTGGGTTTAGGGCGTGGGGGTTTGTACTAGACTAAACCCTAAACCCTAAACCCTAAACCCTAAACCCTAAACCCTAAACCCCTAAACCCCTAAACCCCTAAACCCCTAAAACCCTAAACCGGCTTCAGGGTCTTCTGGTTTCGGGTGTGTGTATCTGCGGCTGGGAGATCCGAAGGGTTGGAGGTGGACCTTGGGTCGGCTTCTGTTTGTACCAGGCGGTTTAGGGTTTAAGGTTTAGGGTTTAGGGCTTAGGGCTTAGGGTTTAGGGGTTTAGGGTTTAGGGTTTATGATTATGGATGCTTCTTCAAGTCAGTCGGGGTTAAGGGTTCTGTTTCAATTTCGGTTTAAAGATTAAACCCAAAACCTTAAACCAATTAGGCTAAGGGGATCCTTGTAATCTGCATCCTAATATGTGGGCTTTCCGTTGCGGCCCCTGGTCATCTAAATCTTCCATTCCGTGCATGGTGCAAAGTTTAAGTTTGGGCTAGCCCGAAACCCCTAAACCCTAAACCCCTAAAGCTTAAATCCCTAAAGCCGAAACTCCTAAACCCTTAGACTCGATTTTGCTACTTGGGTCGTTCCCGACAGCAGTTGTTTTCCGAGAGGATGGGCTTCGGAGTAAATACGAATAGTCTCCCAGTAATCAGTCCCTGTATAGCTCGGGTTTAGGGCTTTGGGTTTAGGGTTTCGGGGTTTCGGGCTTAGGGTTTAGGGGCCATCATGCCAGAATATACCCCTGAAAAAGTAGTGATATTGTGATACTATGTCTGACGGCTCCGTGTTATGATCCTACTCTACTACAGCATACTATACCCTGTTCTGAGCATGAAGGCCCCAGTATTGTTGTTAGCTTGGTGTTTCGCCAGGTGCCGCGGGTGGCCACTGTGCAGGGTGACCCGCCCCCCGACTGCAATGATGGGATCCAATTTCGGAAACCTCTGCTTACCCTAAACCCCACAGACCCTAAATCCCAAAACTTGCCCAGTACCCTCTATAGTCAAAGCCTTCATAAATCCGTCAAAACCTTATGTAGACACCCATAAGCCACCACAACACCCTGCATGACCACCCTTTTACAACCACCCATAACCCTATTAAGCCCTAAACACTGAGCCTAAACCCTACACGCTGACCTCAACCCTAAACCCAAAGCCCTAAAGCCCAAACCCTAACCCCTAAACCCAAAGCCCTCGAGCCTGAACCCTAAACCCAAGCCCCTAAGCCCCAAAGCCTCAACCCTAAACCCTAAAGCCTCAACCCTAAGCCCTAAACCCTAAACCCTAAAGCTTAAAGCCTCAACCCTAAAGCCTCAACCCTAAGCCCTAAACCCTAAAGCCTGAACCCTAAGCCCTAAAGCCTAAACCCAAAACCCTGCACCCTAAACCCTAAAGCCTGAACCCTAAACCCTAAACCCTAAAGCCTGAAAACCCTAAACGCTGCACCCTAAACCCTAAACCCTAAAGCCTAAAAACCCTAAACCCTCAACCCTCAACACTAAACCCTAAAGCCTAAAAACCCTAAACCCTCATTTACAGCCACCCAGTGAGACTTCGCACCCGAAGCCCTCGAGCCGCGGAGGTCCACAGGTCGCCATCTTCGGCTGCCCCTCGGCCTGCCTGGAGAACCCAATGCCCCTTAAAGATTTAGGGTTTAGGGTTTAGGGCTTAGGGTTTAGGGTTTAGGGTTTAGGGTTTAGGGCTTAGGGTTTAGGGTTTAGGGTTTAGGGGTTGAGAGCCCAATACCCCTTAAAGAAGGAATAGGGTTTAGGGTTTAGGGCTTAGGGAATAGGGTTTAGGGTTAAAGAAGGAATAGGGTTTAGTGGGTTTAGGGTTGAGAACCCGATACCCCTTAAAGAAGGACTAGGGTTTAGGGTTCAGGGTTGAGAGCCCAGTACCCCTCAAAGAAGGATGAATATGGGTATAGGCTTTATAGGGTTTACGGTAAGGGTGTAGGGTAAGGAATATACCTTCATTTATAGAGTAAGGAATAGGGTTTGGGGTTTAGGGTTTACCGTTTAGCCTTAATGTATAGGGTCCTATAGGGAATAGGGTTTAGGGTGTAGGGTGTAGGATAAGGAATATACCGTAAGTTATCGGGTCCTTAATGTTATTAATGTAAAGGACCCTATAATTTAAGGTATATTCAGTACCCTACATAAATTATGCGTTAAAGTCTATTCCTTAACTAAGGGGTATTAGGTGCACTCGGCCTGGTCTGTAGGTTTGGATAGGGTTTGGGGTTCAGGGTTTAGGGGTTTGGGGTTCAGGGTTTAGGGGTTTTGGGTACAGGGTTTAGGGGTTTGGGGTTTGGGGTTTGGGGGTTTGAGGTTTAGGGGTTTGGGGTTCACGGGTTTGGGGTTTGAGGTTTGGGATTGGGTTTAGGGGTTTGGGGTTTGAGGTTTGGGATAGAGTTTGGGGTTTAGGGTTTCGTGGTGTAGGGTTCAGGGTTTGAGCTTAGAATATAGGCATTGAAGGTGTTCGGGTTTCAGGATTTAGGGTTTAGGGGTTTGGATTTGGGGTTTTGGGTTTGGGGTTTGGGGGTTTGGGGTTCAGAGGTTTGACAGGGTTTGGGTTTAGGGTTCAGGGGTTGGGAGTTTTAGGGTTTAGAGGTTTGATAAGGTCTGGGGGTTTAGGGTTTGGGGTTTAGGGTTCGGGGTTCAGAGGTTTGATGCGGTTTGGGGTTTTAGGGGTTTGGGGTGTAGGATTCAGGGGTTCATTAGAGGTTTGGATAGGGTTTGGGGTTTCGCGTTTCGGGGTTTAGGGTTGAGAAGAGGTTAGAGGTTTAGGTTTTAATTATAGAGCTTTGAAGAACCTACGATCGGCGCCAAGGAGGAGAGGGTTGTGGGGTAGATTATGGTGTTTCCATTCCAGGGTTTTGCGGCGGGTTGATATGGGCTACGACAGAGTCTTGATGGGGTTTGATTGCCCTATATATACTCACACTGTAGGATACCGCCCAAAGCCCTAAACTCTAAACCCTAAGCCCTCGTCCAGCTATTGAGACCCCGTGTATGTCTTTTTTAGGAGCACTTGGGCTTTCGAACATGTGTGTTTAATTAATTTGGCTTATAGGGTTTAGATTTTTTAGGTTGATGGGTCTGGTGGAGACTTTAGGATGTTTGGGTGTGCGGGGCGCGTCTGCACCCGCCGTCCGAAACCTTAAGTCTTAAACCGGAGGGTCCAAAGATGCTACCATTATGGAATTATAAACCCCAAAAGACCATTCCAATCATGGCTTCGGGGGACCTGGTTCCATAATGCGGTTGATGATATAAATCCTGCATTGCCTTATAAGGATCCTAAACTATGGGAATTGTGGTATATTCCTCATTATGGGGTAATGCATGATGTATGTCATCAACCGTACCCGTGTAAACCGACGGACGTCTACACTGGGCTCAGATCTGCGCGTTGAGGGCATTCGAGACTGAAGCCTCAGGGTGACGCCCACAGCTTCCAAATCCCGGGAATCGAAGAACGAAGCCAGAATTAGCCCCGATGAGCCTTGAACAAAGATGCCTACAACTCCCCTAAATACACGATTAAAAGTTACTACTATAAGTGGCAACCTCACAATTTCAGGGCATTATCTGCATGTCTGCGCCGGCTGCTCTTCTGTCTCTTTGCTTGGGATGCGCTGGTCTTCTTTCTACAGGGACCGAGAACCTCAAAAGTAGATAAAATAATGGCCCAAAACCTTCAAACGGCTAGTATTTTACATACTTTTGGGGTCCAGGGAAGACCCAAATCCATACCGCAAGTCTAAGTGTCCACCCAGGCCGAGGACTGACGCAATTGTACAGGGCCTGAAGATCATTTCTGCAGCTGCGTAACAGTCTTATTTTAGGGTTTAGGGTTTAGGGTTTAGGGTTTCTAGACCAAGTCGCTGACAAGCCCATCAACAGCTTCCGGCTTCAGCTGATTCATGATTCCAGGCTCTTCTATGGCGACAGCCTGACAGCAGGCTACCATGCATCTGGCTGCTTGCGCCCCGACCTGCAGACGTTGACAGGCTTCGTTTCTGAGGCACTGTACAGGGTCGAGGTGCTGTCAGGTCTCGACGGATGTGGTCGTCACTATTTTGCAGTAAATAGTGTGAGCACTAATATTGAGGCTAAACCTTAACCCTAAACCCTAAACCCTAAACCCTAAACCGTCTTATAAAGACCCTGTGAATCATAAACTTCAGACCTAAGCTTGAGGCTACCTTAGAAGTGCTCGCCCTTACGAGGCAAGTGATGTGAACCCCTCCAGCATGTCACAAGGCCTTAGAAACCCGGAGCCCTAAATGTCTCTCATATCAACTGCTGGTGTTTACGATTTAAGATTCAGGGTTCAGGGGTTCGGGTTTGGGTGAGTTTTAAGACACACCGAAACCCCACATTAAATTTGCACATCAGAAACCCTACAGCCTATAGCGGCCCTAAATTTTCTAACGATAAAAGAGGTGCAGGGCCAGGGAGTTCGGCATCGCACGTTTCCCAATAACCCTCAACATATTCGAAGAAGTTCCGTCGCCGCCCGGTACATTTAGGGTTTAGGGTTTGGGTTTAGGGGTGCAGGTGCGACGTTTGGGCCTGTATCCTCAGGGCTCACACGTGGAACCTAAGTTCTAGATGTCGATGATGCAGGTGGGTTCTTTCCAAATTTGATGTCCCCTTATTATGGTCCCAATACATATATACATATTATACATGTATCTATATCTACATAATATGTGCGTGGTTTTGGTTACCTGTAGTATATAATCCCCAGCAGCCTATGCTAGTTATAGTCATGACGGCCCTTCCGCTACCCTCAGAGACCATGCCCTAATGTGCACGGTTCATTGCCTCAGGTTCGCCCCATATGCCGAAGCTTTTGGCCGGGCCGCTTCTCTTGGCCCACCATGCGAGCTGCTCGGACGGGTACCTGATGAATATAGAAGCTTGAGTGCCTAGATACTACTGAGTAACACTGTGCCTTGGGGCTCGTTGTTGAAGTCCCTAAACCCCAAACCCACAGCTTGCCTGTATTTCTCTTTGACATACTCTCATTTCCGAGGCTCGGGGTTTGACTATGGCCGATCCAGGTTTGATTTAGTCTTTTGGGCTATCTCTGATCAGAAAAACTGAGGCTACATTTTGTTCCTAGCCGCTTGCATGAACCCTAAACTTGAAGCCCTATTTGTTCCCCGCCGCTTGCATGAACAGAGAGAACCCGACGCTTTTCAGATCACGAGTTCGCAAACCTGAGCACCAAGGGCGAACGTTTCCTATTTCCTTCAACCCTAAACCTCACACCTTAAGCCTGGAAAAAGTCCAAACCCCAAACCGTCAACCCCAAACGCTAAACTTTGAAGCCTACACCTTAAACCCTGAGCCCAAATTGATCCTAAACCCTAAACCCTAAACCCTAAATCGTTTGTCTTGCAAGGCTTTGGGTGTGCGGCCTAAGCGGCTTGACAGCCGTGCAATTGGCATCCAAGGCCGGTTCGGCAAAGACCCCAGGCACGGTTTAGGGTCAAGGGTTTAGGGTGGGATGTAGCGTTTATAGGGCCTTTAGGGAGCCGGTTCGGGGATTTCCAGATAGATGACGCTTGCAGGTTTAGGATTTCAAGGTTTCGGGTTTATCAGGGCTACAGCTGAATCGGTTCGCGGACTTGGAGCTGATCAAGGGTTTAGAGGCTACCTTAGGGTCGTACCCCACCCCTTTTTTAAGGTACCTAGTTTTATGGTTAGGATCTGCTATATAAAAGGTAGGTACCCTAAAAAGGGTCAGGGTATGACACTGTAGGTACAGTTGAACCGGTTAACTTGCTGGTTTCGTGACACCTTCCTGGTGATCCTGAAAAATCCCGAAGCTCTAAGCCCCTAAACCCAATACAGAGAACTATCCCAATGCTGACTTCCCTTAACCTGCCACAACCTATGTTGCTGCAGGGTCCTATTGTAAATGGCAATATAGAATTCTTCTTGGGGCCCTACACAATGTACGTTTTGCTAAATATTGAATTCAATAGGTACCCTACCAAAATAGCATTCAATAGGGACCCTACAAACACGAAGTTTTGGTAGGTTAACCCTAAACACTCAAACCCTTAGCCCTGCGACCCTATAACCCTGCAACCCAAAAACGTGTAACCCTAAGCCCCAAACCCTATAACCCTATAGCCTATACCCCTAAACCCTAAACCCCCAAAGTAGTCAACCCTGAACCCGAAGGTTGTGTAGAAGAAGTCACAGTCTGAGGATCCGCGATGCAGTTCTTCGACATGGCCCAGGGATTCGCAGGCTTGGTATAAAAGGGGTTAGGGCTTTGATGGTTTGGGGTTTAGGGTTGAATTTAAGTTTAGGGTTTAGGGTTCGAGGGTTTAGGATTAGGGTTTGAGGGTTTAAAGTGGGGTATACAGGGCTAGGGCCTGGTTGGTTTAAGAATGGAGGGGTTTAGGCCGTAGAGCTTCGGTGTAGTGGTGGCCTGCCTAAATCCAGTTATCTCCTGTTTTGGTTAAAGTGTGGGGGGGCTGTGGGTGAAGAGCTTAGCCCTAAACCCCAAACCCTGAAACCCTAAACCAAATACCGTAAACCCTGGCGCAGGGTATAGGGCGCCACTGTTGAGCCCTGCTGTTTCGCGGCTTTGATGGTCAGACATAGCGTTGTCGCAGAAAGACACGGATAGTCCAGAAGCTCCAACCGGGGCTTGGGTTCAGGGTTTAAGTTTAGGGCTTAGGGTTTATATATCTATATATATATATATATATAAGTTTAGGGTTTAGGGTTTAAGTTTAGGATTTAGGTTTAGGGATTAAGTTTAGGGTTTAGGGTCCAAGCCGGCAAACCCTGAACCCCAAGCCCCTGACCTCGACCAGGCTTCTCGAGGAACACGGCCCTTTCGACCTTACCTTCATCATGCTTGGAACGCACCTAGACTGCTTTGGTTTCGCATGCGCGAAGGCTTCGGGTATTTGGGTCACCCTAAACCCTAATCCCCTAAACCCTAAACCCTAAGCCCCTGAACCCTAAACCCTAATCCCCTAAACCAAA